GCAACGAAGCATTAAATTTTGTTTATTAAATATAATCCTTATTCTTATAATTTATATTTTTTATTCCATTCAAATCTTAATCTCGCAAAATCATAACTACCTTATCTTCAAATATTAATGAAAACTGAGCACGTATAAAACAAAGCAAATTGAAAGAAATGAAAGAAAAAGAACATGGTAATATAAACATGAAATAATGAGCTTGAGTTTTTTTTAAAAAAAAATTAAGGTAGTGGTTTCATGGGGAAGACACTTGTTTTTTTTTTAATTTAGATTTGATTTTTTTGTATATATTTATTATTTTTATGGTATTTTATTTGTCTACTAAATTTATAAAATATTTAATAAATCTAAAAATTAATCATGCTATATATATATATTAATTTGAATATCCTAAATTATATATTAAAAAATAGCTTGAGTTTTAGGTCTCGCATGAAGCATAAACACCTTTATGCTGAAACAATTTTTAATGGAGGAAGATCAATCAATACACTATTTAATTTCGGAAAAAAGACAAGAGAAGAAAGCAGCTTAATTTGGAGACGAGAGAAATAGTTAATTACTATACTAATTTGTGTTTAAAAATAGAGAACTCCACCCGCTGCTGACGCAGCTGCAAGTCAAGGGCCAATCACTGAAAATATTGAAAGCAACCGCCTCCACTCAGTACCTTCTGATGCAGACTTTCCTTGTCCCGTCGCATAATCTCCCCGGTCCCACCCTCCTTTTTTATTTCTGGACCTTCCTCTTCAAATTACTAAAATACCCTTGTAACAGTATTTTCCCGTATTAGCACAGGAAAAAAATAATTTCAAAATGATACAGTTAAACAAATAATTCTCACTAAAATACACAAACAATAATTATGCATATATTACACCTATAGAATTAGCGCGACCAGTAGGTAGCGCATATCCTAAATGCGTAACCACGGGTGATGTATATGATAAAGGATTGTTTGGAAGTATAGTTTTTACGTGGTTTAAAATGTTTTTTATTTTTAAAAAATTATTTTTAAAATGATTCAAAAATATAAAAAAAATATAATTTTTAAAAAACATAAATTACCCACGTTTAAAAAAAAAAACCTACATGACCGCCTAGTTAATTAATTTCACAATATCATACCTCTCTCATCTTCACAATACACCTCATTCTTATGTCTCTCTTTCAGCCGTTATTTTTTTTATAGCTATCTACACGCAGCAAGCATATATTTCTCTCAACCTTTACTACCATCAATGCCACCACTACTCATAAATTTCTTATTTAATCAATTTGAAATATATTCACCTTACCCTTTGTTAATTGTTATTTTAGAAGGTTACTTTGTGAATTTTTTAGGATAAAAATTTTAGGGTTTAGATTAAGGTTTTTATTGATTTTGCCTAATTGAAGATTAATTAGATATAAAACATAAGCAAAAAATAATGATAACACTTATTTAACTCCCAACTAACCCAAATATAAAATGATTATGTGGTCAAAACAAAAGTAGACAAACAAAATGATTTGGACTAAAAAAAATAAACAAATATGTTTTGGAATTTAAAATAAATCTAAACCGTTACGCAATTTTAAAGTATTAGAATTGAAGTTCAGACCTATAATATTAGAATGATCTTAAGTTCAATGTGTAGTGTCTTGATACTAAAAAAACTATAGATCCGAGTTTATATATTTTTCTTTTATGTTTAGGTATTGAAACCTGTGTATAATTAGTTTATAGTAAAATTGAACTCCAATTGAAATTTCAAGAAAATAATATTAAAATAAACCCAAATTTAATTTGTAATGCGATTACACTCCCATCAACTCCCATCAAGCAGTATATAAAATTTCAATTAATTTTAAGGTAGTTTGCATAGAGTTTTCAATGAGTTCTAATTCTATGATAGAATTGCAACAAGTTTTGAATAATATCTTTTCTTCTTCTTCCTTTTTTTTTTGTCTTTTATGCTACAGATATGTTTAGAGACATTAATAGAAAAATATTAATTTTTTATATTAGGATGTCATAGATACAAAGAACAAAAATAATAATAACATAAACGTTGAAAACTTAAAGAACACTAAGAAAATAAAAGTTTCAAAAAGATATGACTTGATTTCGGAGCTTAGCTCTGATAATAACTGACACAAACCTCGTGATCACATGGCCACATAATTCACAATCAAGATTAAGATCTAATATTGAAAAGCCAAAAGAGATATGTTAGGAGTGTGATACAATGAGAATCTGTCTCAAGGCACCAATACTATTGGAATGAAGTTAAACAACATCATAAAGCTAATTAATATTTGATAAATTAGATTCAGTTCATTCAAAAGAGATATGTTAGGAGTGTGATACAATAAGAATCTGTCTCAAGGCACCAGTACTATTGGAATGAAGTTAAACAACGTCATAAAGCTAATTAATATTTGATAAGTTAGATTCAGTTCATTTAAAAACAAAACAATACAAGAATCTTTCCTACATATTAAACTAAAAGGTTTAGAAGTATTATTTAATTTCCAATGTTGCTGTGAGAAGAGAAGAAAATAACAAAACAATACAAGTCC